TGGGATGGAGTGGAAGCTTGCTGAACCTGCCCCGCTCCGCAGGAGCTCTAACTGCTGCAGCTGAGCTTAAGGCTGCTGCTGCAATTAGTCAGACCAATTTCCACTGCTATAATGCTGGCAACTTTGATGGAAGGTGTAGCTAAGATGGGCCTTTGTATGGTTGCAGATATGCCACATCATGTTGCTATTAGGTCAAATTGATGTGGTTAAAATGTCAGTAGCTATCTTGCACATATGCACAGAGGCTTTTGGCTCTGGGGCTGAACCAGTACTGAAAATGGCAGCGTTGAGGACACTTAGGGAGTATCTCCTGAAAAACTTGCTGACTAGAAGAGAATCCTCACAAGTGCCTGCATAAGCCATCCAGGACACATCTGTGTAACCTGAGTCTTAAATATTGACCTTACTGCATGATATTTCCTACTTTTGAGGGTAAGGAGTACACAATGAGAACTATCCTATCAGAGCCACTTCCTACAAGTAAATTAAGACAAAGTGCAGGAGCCAGATGCTTGATGTAGTAACTTTTTATTAAGACTTTTGAGTTTCCATTAAGTGATCTAACACCCCAGCACAGGAGGATTAGCCCATCCCCATGATGGGCTTAGCAAGATCAGAAGGGAGAATAATACAACCCACACCCTATTACCATGTTTTTTAGCATGAAAATTACTGAGGAGAGGAATTTAAGCTGTCTCAGCTCAGTGGGCTATGCTGAGGGCAGAGTGGGCTTTCTCCTGTAGAACAGCTAATTCATTCAGTGTCATTCAGGATGCAATGTGATAGATGAGGTATGGGTGTAGGTATCCCCTTGCCTCCAGGGCCAGCAGGGAATCCTAAGGACTGTGCCTCCAGCATCTAAAATGAAGATCAGTTAAAAGCAGGGGCAGGCAATTATTTTGGGTGGAGGGCTGCTTACTGAATTTTGGTAAGCCAGCAAGGGCCGCATGACCAGCAGCCAGGGGCAGATGAATATTTTCTAAATCTTTTAGGGGTCCTGTGGGCTGGACAGAATGGCCTGGTGGGCCACATCCAGCCCATGGGCCACATTTTGCCCACCCCCTGAGTTAAAGCAACTGAGCCAGACAAGCAGCAGAGTAGAGAACCTGTGTAGGTCAAGGGGCAGGGCAGGAAAGAGGGAAGTGGAGGTGGAATATGACCTGTCAGCATGGTTTAGAAACTAGCCCTGAGTTAAACTGTGGGAGGTGGATTCGTGTCCTACTGAAGCAGTGCCAGAGGACAGCTAAACAAGCATAGTAAGATTAACTGCATTTTACTACTTTCCCTGCATTCTAAGCAAATTCAGTGCTCAAGGAAGCAGCAGTCAGTGCAGAGGTAGAGCAGGGAGTGAGGTGTTTATAGAAATTTCCACCAGGAGCAGAAATAGGATGAATAGGCAGGTGGTGAGGATACAATCCTTGGAAAAACGAAGCAGGGTCTTGCTCTGCAGTAGAATGCCCTATATTTTATCAGAGGGAAGATATTGTAGCAGCTAGTCAGCCACCAGGGCTCAGACAGGGCACAAGGGATGTCACAGCTTTACATAATACAGTGCATGTTGTTAAAGAACATGGGTGGATCAACTGTGCCCAGTGGCAGAAGTCTTGGTGGTGATACCTGCAGTAGGGGACAATCCCACCAGCTACTTCATTCAACACAACATGTAACATGTACTATAGAGGGACATGATGCTAGGGCAGTGCAGGCTGGATATAGCATTGTAAAAAGGAAAGAAGATCTATTCTGAGTTGGATTTAAAGACTGAATTACTAGACTGTTGCAGGCTTGGCTTCTGTTCTAATATAGATGTGGAATGACTACAGAAGTGCCCCTTTATGCTATAGCACCTCTCACTTGCCCATCAGTTCCCTTCAACTCAGTTCAGTGCCTGATTTGGAAAATACAGATTAAAGCCCAGGTCTCTTTGCTGCTGCTCTGTTGAGTCATTGGTGCCAATCTGGCAGCACGGCAGATTCCTGTGTGACAAGGCCCATGGGGCCAGTCAGTTAGTCCTCTGACCAAAGCTGAAACTTTTATGAAGTCTAGTTAAGTGTCATCTCTGATACTGAGGAAAGAGTTAGTGGAGAGTTTTAGAACCAAAGGACAAAGCCAACCACTGCCAAGGGACCCCCAGCAGGAAATGGTCTCCTAGTGAACAGTTCTCTCCTTCTGCCTCTGGTAATCTGCAAGGAGAAAGAGAGGATATTAGTAAGGCTAAAAAGGTAAGATGGAGAGAAAGGACTTCTCTAAGCGTGAGCTGTGCTCTACATGAAAAATGTCCTAAGCCTGAGAGGCTGGAATAAGAAGACCTATTTGCCTGTAGATTTTTAAGTGTTGATAATGGTGTGGGGGTGGGAACTGGTGGATACCACAGTAGTAAGGATGATAGATGAAGTTTCCAGGACTACTTAGTATATTGGAATGACTAGAACACTTTCTCTGCTCCTATACAGCAGCTGTCTTTGAGATGGTACATTACCAGCTCAGCTGCTTCTTTCTTTACTTCCGCCAGCACTCTTGGATGTAGGTGTGACTTATCAACTTGTTTTAGCAAGTTGTTTTGTTGATATCCTAGGTGAAAATACTGATACTTAACTATCTTTAATGTCAGAAGAGAGTGAGGATCCCCTGTCCCTTGTTCTCTGTGATAAGAGTGATGGAGGGGAAAAAGTTTGGTTTCATTGTAACTTCTTCACCCTCTTTGCCCTACTTTTCAGAACGGTCTTACCAAAGTGCACCTCACTTTTGTGCTTCAAGGTCTCTCATCCCTTTAGTTTCCACCTGGTTTACTTCACTTAAGATGTATTTCCTTTTTCTGAGATACTTGTTTGGTTTGGTCTTCTGAACCCTTTGCTTTTCAATCCATCTCTGACCCTTATGGTTACTGAATAAGCAGATTTTGTGGATTTAAGACTTGTTCATTTTGGACAGGGGGCTCTTCACCAGCTTTTTTTACGAAGCATTTCTCTGTACAAGAAAAGTACCAACATCTGGAACTAATACCAACTAACAAACAAGTGGTTCAGCTAGAGTTACTGAACCAACTCCTGTGTGGTGCTGAAGACTAAATAGTTGCTTTCAAGTGCTCTGCAGCTACCTCTCTTGATTAAGTTATTTAAGCTGTTAAACTGCTTCTCCAAAGCTTTTTCTGCTATGACACGACTAATTTATATGCCAGTAGTTGAAGTCATAGGTTACTGTTTTGACTTGGTGCATAATATTGAGAAAGCAAAGCAGCAATTATGGTTCTATCTGATCTGAAGGCTGCTAGTTTATCCCTATACTTAGGACTCCAGACCTGTAATGATCAGGTTAGCTGGCGTCAGCAGAGCTGATGAACTGCTGGGATGCAAAACAGTAGGAATCTGCTGTGCTGCCAGAGGAACTAACAGAAGCTTACTGTAGGGGAAGAAGCGGACACGCATGGTAATTTCACGGGCAGTCTTCAGGATCTCCACAGCCTGAAAGCAGCAGAAGAATTATTTGTGAGGACTAAACAGAGACAAGGATCCAGTACTACCCAGTACCTCAGATGGAGGGTCCAGCCTCAGAAGTTAGCAGTGCTTTAGCAGCAACTTACAGTCAACTGTCTTTGCATCAGGGATGACCACCACATTAAGGAAGGAATACAGGAGCTCTTCCACCCAATCTGCTTCAGGCCTACAGTATATGTTCCTGGTATCTTCCCCATGTTGGGCCACTTTAAAATCCAGTGAGAGCTCCCAGCCAAGAATCTCTCAGCAGACAGTGATCACTCTCCCCCTTTGTGAGTAGGGGAATAGAAGAAAGGGAACTGCATATGATCAGCCACTAAGCTGGTAGGACTAGCTACTGAAAGGTGGGTGCCCAGGTCCTACTTCTAGTCCTCAATGCTGTCACATGAGTATGCACCACTGCTCTGGCAAGGCACTCAGGCTAGGGCATAAAGGAGCCAGGTCAGCTCTGCATCACATGGACTTGTTCCTTTAGCCTTTCTCCATGCCAAGTGTCTTGAACTGCCACAAGCAGCCTACGCCCCTGCATTTGAGCTGTTGGGGGAGCTCTCACCTTGCTGTGCTCAATGTCCTGGAAATCCACATCATTAACTGAAAGGACCTGGTCTCCTTCCTGCAGCCCTGCTCTGTGTGCATCCGAGTCGGGGATTACCTGCAAGTGAATAAGAGGGGGCAATGCTGGCTGTCTGCAAGGCCAGTGTTGCACAGGCCCTTTCCACAGACGGGTCAAATCCAACAGACCCATCTTAGCAGCACTGTGCCCCCCTCCATCCCCCGGTTTCTACTTCTAGTCCACCTTAGAAAGACCAAGGTGGGAAGGGGAGAAGCTTAGATCAGTACTGAGGTATGCTTAGAAAGCTGTGTTTGTAGGGGTGAGCTCAAAGCTGACATTGGAAAGGGTACTCTCAGACAAGTCTGTCCCAGACTATTGATCCTGTGGTACTTGGCAGCTCCTAATAATGAGTCTAGAGTTGTACAGAGCATCTGAACCTGATCCAAAGACAGAACAGTATATACCTGCTCAGTCCAGGTGAATAAGAGAAGGCTGAGGGGGGACCTGGTAACAGTCTATAAACT